AAATGGCATAATTTCTTGATGTGCGCTTCTCCGTTAACCTGGGGAAAATCAATGCACTAATTATGTGTCTTCCTCCCCCCTGAGGGCATGCTGCACTTGCCTGTCACACGTTACCCTTTCTGATGGCGAGAAGCCTCGTTCGTCACTCAATCTGCGAAATGCTGGACATAAGAGCCTTTGTCTCAGTTTCCACAGGCTGAATGATTTGCCACTAAATCTGTGTTTAAAGTATCATAATTGAGATAGCTAACCTGGAACTTATGTTGCGGCTGCCAGACAAGTTCATCATGGTCATAATTTATGAAGTTTACAAATATGTAGATTTTGATGACCTATGGCTGTTGTTTTTATAATCAAATGATCATGTGGCTATTAAAAAAAGCATTATTGAAAGACTGAAGCATCAATTTTGTGAGGGGATTAGCCTTGTGATGGGTGGATAAGTTGTCAAAAGCAACTTATTGTGCATGCAGAGTTGCTTCCCTTTGCTATTCTAGGATCATTTGATTTTTATGTTTGAATCTCAGATTTATCACTGAAACACACAGGACATTGGTAGATAAGTGGTTAAACTCACCACAGTTATGTCAATTTGCTGTGCCAGGATTCGCTGATCAGTTTATGTTTCTTATTTATGCTAGATATTATTCTTGGTTTGCCAAGAACATACTTATGCTATGTAATAGGTTACATCAGACTGGTAAATATGATCAGTGTCACTTTTTGCTTTCATTCCGCATTTGCCAATTAATGTGTCTCTATCCAAGATATAATTAGAATGTTGCTGAAAGCAACAAAATACTCGGTCACTCCTCCCGCTATCAGCTTAGGCTCTTATGTGTATATACAGTATTGTTCAGAGCTTCACTCACTCACTCACTCACTCACTCACTCACCTTGTGAAAACTATATCAGGTGAGCTACTGAGTTCCTTGACATGACCTTCTTCAGGTTAAGTTTTAAAGTACAGATTCCCTCAAAAAGGTTTCCAGGCTGAATGTCATGTCTCATTATATTCTACAGATAGCAACTTTTTAACTGAAGTATTATTCAAATAACCTGACAAAAAGTTTTAATGAGAATGAGAATTTCAATATTGCAAAACTGATCACCATCCATCAGATGCATTGTGACGTAATTTTTTAGTCTGCTTGGAGCTGTTTCATATGAATACCCAGTCTCTAATAAATTTATTCTGAATTTGAAAATTCTCTAAAGTAAAAATGTTGAATTGTCAGCTGATCTAAGGTTAACAAGATGATTATAAACTCTGATCACACACCTGTGGCTGCTTCCTTTTAATTTTCTTCACTTCCGTACCCAGTGTCTGTCTGTCTCGCTTACATTTCCTGATTGCACTGTAGGCTAGCTGAAATAGGGTTGTCAATTAAGTTACAGAAAATTGATTTTGTTGATACGTCTATGTTTGTGCTTGCCATTTCCTGAAAACATATTACTGAGTCCACTGAGTGTTTCGAGATTCTTGTACACTGCCAGTATGGAACGTTGGTAGATGAGAGAGAGATTGCAGTAGCCCTACAGCCAAATACCATCAGAGTCTGAGTTGGTCCGAGATAAAATTAGTGTTGCAACTGATTTCTGTGCAGGTTAAATTTTTCCCTTGATGACTGTTACTTAAGCAATGTGAAGGATAATATATTAAACTTTTAATAGTTACAATTTGGCAGCATGTCGGTGGGATAGCCAAATGGTTAATGCATTCACTTATCCCTTTGAATGCCTAGGTTTGATTCCCCACATTGGTACACATGTGCTCCATTTCTGTTGCCTCAAACTGTGATATTGCTGGATATTTGCTTAAAATGATGTAATACCTTATTCTCTCACTAACATGAATGTTGAGTAAATACATGCATGCTTTTATCCTCTATCACCATTCAAAATCACATCCGGTTCTTTATTTGTGTCGGCAGTTATTTAACATTCGTTGGGTAGAGACTGATTTGACCTTAGGGTTGGGAAATTCGGGTAGCTGAAATTCTTGTAAGAGCTTCTTGACCATTTAAGTATTCGGAATACTGTATGAGTTGTGGGTGCTACTGGAAGGGCTGGATATGTTTACCATTTTTGCTAGGGTCCTGTCTTATTTTCAGGGTTCCATTCATATATATGTAGAGAAACAAATAAAGGAACACAGGAAAATTCACGTGTTTATAGTTTTTTAGTTTTCATCACCAGCTTTGAATAGTTCTGTGATGATGAAAAATAATAAAGGAACGCTTGAATTTTTTGTGTTCCTGTATTTGTTTCTCTACATATAATTTTCAAGGCAATTTACCATTTTGCCAATGATGGGATCAGTTTCTTTGGATAGTTGAGTTAGGATTTGTGGTAGATTTGAAATTTTATATAACTAGGGTATTACACATGAATGGTGTGACACATGAATCCATTACAGAACTATGTCAGTTTTCACAGGCTGAGAAGAATCTTTCTGAAGAATATAATTTTGTGAATAAAGCATACTGTTGCACAACATTCATGATTCTCTTGACTGATCTACATCCTCGTCTCAGGGTAAATGTGTTACCCATGTCATTGTAATGGAGGAAAATGAAATGAGATTCAAATTTCATGTGCAAAAGTGATACTTATGTTTCATTCAGATTACAATGTTTGCTGGGGAAATTTTGTTCAAACGATAATTTGATACCAATAACCCAATACTGTATGTTTTAACTACCTAAATCCAATTCCAGAAATCTCATGTGGGCCGAAATCACATCATACAGCTATGAAATGAGTTATAAACCAAATTACACAGACCATTGGGAGTCTTCGTGGTGGTTGTGTCACTTTTGACAAGGATTGCTTGGAAGGCCCCTCTGCTGATGTCCAATTTATCTTGGATTAAGGTGTCATGTTTCTGTAATTGTATCCAGGAAAAAACATCAGTTTGATAACACAGTATTTTGAAAACTATTATGGGTCGTATTTGTGAACTTGAAGGGGAAGAAAAATGGAAATTAACGGCTTAGAGGTGAGAGGTGGGCTATAAATACCAAACAGGTTTCTCCATTGCAGGCTTCTATGATAGCTATTTGTCAGGGTTCCTGTTAACAAATTACATGACAGGAGTTAGGTTTCTGTTCTCTGTCTTCCGCCTTTTCTATTAGTGTATTCCTTCTCATGTGCTAATGCACCATTAAAGTATTTCTAGAGAGAGTATCAGGACTTGCGGGCAAACAGTTTCCTGAAAAAAATGTACGCACCAAGATAAAAGTTGCAGGAAGAGAATATTTGTTATGACATTAAGCTAATTGGTGTCACATATTATCGTGGAGGCCGATGTGTGCAGCGTTTGTTACGCTATGGATTGCAGTGGGGGGATCTATGTTCGGAGGGCTTAATAGCATCGGAATCAGTTTGTGGTGTAGCAGGGCTCACAAGGGAATTCGTACAAAGTTATTCTATATTGTATTACTTAACAGGCTCTGTAAAAGCAGCAACGTTTGTAATCTGTATGTTGTGTTGAAATTTGTGCTGTAGCTCGTTGAGTTAAGAGTTGTGTGTGAATGAATGAAACAACTGTGGTTGTGTATAGGGTGGTATGAGAAATGAGGCGTTGTATTCTTGGGACATCAGTGGGTCTAATGGTAATATTTGCTCATCGTACATGTCCAGTCTGGAAGTAAAGCACTATTGATGTTGTTCGTGCTGTTTATAATGTGAGACTGTGGTGCTGGTCTGTATGTGTTGTAGTGTGTTGTATACATAATTGATTATGACGTTGCGAAGATACTGCAATGGTAGTGCCTGAAATGACAGATGTATTTTTCTCATTATTGTGTGTCTCCCGAAGGGATTCCAGTTTAGAATAGATTCCCTGCAACTTGTACCAGACGAAGTAGCTTAATGGATCAGATGTTCAGAGTTACTGTAGACATACGCAGACATCTTGGACTTATGTTCATAATGTCGATCACGTGCTTGTCTGTGCAGGTTTTTTATAGCCCACTTGGAGAGGTGTATTTCAGCCCACAAAACAAAAGTATATGTATTGCTTTAAAGTAACATGTGCAACAGCTTGAATATTCATTCCAATACAATGTGTGCATTGTATTGGTATACATGTACACTCAGCTGGTTAAAGTGTTTGTTTTGTTATGCCAAAGATCTGATTTCAAATCCGCAAATTTGTACAATTTGTGAAGCCAGTTTCTGGTGTCACTCACTCACTCACTCACTCACTCACTCACTCACTCAGTTGAGTGCATGAAACAGGCTGTAGGTATACTATCTGATGGTAGTATGTATGTCACAGTCACAATCTGTCCCTGTTGTAGCCGTCGGAAGATAACACATCTGACATGCGCGAAGTAGGTGAAGTATGAAGATGTCTGCATTTGCCAAAGGGTCAAAGAGTTTCATAATAATACTTTAATAATATTACCTTGATAAATCTTAATCATGCCTGTGTGACACTGATTGTGAAATACTCACATAAGAACTGGTTTAAAAACTCGGTTAACATATAGTCACGGGAATAAGAGTTATGTTTCTCCTCTTATGGAACTCTCGCAGTTTCTTCTGCTGACAAAGGGATGAGTGTAGGCTGTTTGAGTGGAGGATTAAAGAAGAAAAGGGGTGAAGATCAGAGAGTAATAGGGGTGAAGATTAGAGAGGAATAGGGGTGAATTTTGTTTTGAGTATTTGCTCCAGGGTCTGTACTGTAGGACTAGAACTCAACTCTTAAGTGCTAATGGTGCTATTTTATGCTGTTCTTATTAGGAATGTACCAATGTTTCACACTGTCGATGTACTGCAATCGTCTGCCCTACGATTGTACTTTATCATTAGGAGTTTCATAATGCCACATTTTCAGTGGATAGTATGCAAAACAATTGATGAAAATCCTGTATTTTTGCAGCCATCATGCTATATAATTGTTTCCAACAGAAGTCCTTAATGGTGTCACCTATTAATAAAATGTTGTACAGGAAGTAGTATTTTCAACTAATCAATTGTTTGGGTTTCAGGTTTCATTGCTGCTGACATCAAGGGCACAGGGTCTTGGACTCAATTATTTCTCATCACAGACTACCATGAAAATGGGTCTTTATATGATTACCTCCAGCTTCATACACTGGACACTCATGAGATGCTGCTGTTATGTCACAGTGCTGCCTGTGGCATCTCTCACCTTCACATTTTTCCTTATCCTGACTCATGCTCTTTTGCTTGTCTCCTTCCTCTTGCGAACATAGTGGAACACTTGTATCTCCCTAATTGAAGTTCCTTCAATGTAAAATCACTAATTAGTACACCACGAGTTACCTCCCTTCCACAAGCTGGGGAGCGAGAGCCACCTCTACCCATGTGCCTCACTCTCTCCTTCTTAGCCCAGTGAGCTGGGCGTGAGAGCGCCTGTGTCTCCGACACACTATATCCTTTGATTATATTTAGTTAGTTACCTCGTATAGAGATCTATAGAGGTTTAGCTAGTATCTTTCAACAATTATATATTGATATTTAGTCGTGTTTCTACTGTTTATGCGGGGCCCGTGCTGTTGCAGTGGATTACGTTGATAAAAATTCTGTACTGTTGCACATTCGTTTTTATTCTGCTGCTGATCGCATTTAATATGCCCTAGCTGTACTGCGCCATGTTTCATGTGATTCACGTTGCAGTTCGCGATACTAATTTATCAATTCTACCTTTAATAAATAATTACTTTGCGTTTGAGGCAGCGCAGCAGATAGAGTCGCATTATGCAGAGTCTAGCATGACTGATACACCTGAACCCTCGCCAGTCTACTGCTGTTGGTCGACCCCCTCCCGTCTGGGTTTCCGCTAGAATGGTGGGAGCGTGGGGCGTAGTCCGCCGCCTCAAAAGCGTCCTGCTTCCCCAGACATCCCGCCGTCGCACTGAGGGGTATTCAGCGAAGTCTACTAGAACTTTCTCAGCGAGATTGTTCTCATCGCAGATTTGGGCCTGTATGATGATCAGCCGATCATCATTCCTGATGTACATCAAAGAATGACTGATGTCGGCAACAGTGATGTCAGCGCAGATCAACATTCGATGATCTTCCTGAGGGTCCCGTCGCTACCAACACTCAGCGCAGACCGCACCCCAGGGCAGCGTCGACCTCTGAGGGAATTCAGCGAAGTCTACTAGGACTTTCTCAACCCGAGATTGTTCCAGCCGCTGAACTTGGCCTCTCACGATGATCAGCCGATCATCATCCTCGGCGTATGAGACAAGTAGCGACCGGTGACAGCTACAATGACATCAGCAGAGATCGTCATGCAGCCTGATGTCTCTACACTGATGTCAGGCGACTTACCTGAGGGCCCCACCACTAACAAGCGCAGAGATGGCACCGACTACGCCGTCGCCAGACCATCCCAGGCGAGCTACTACGGCAAATCATGGTGCGTGATGGAGGTCACTACAGACTGGAGAAGCAGCCAGCCCAGAGTCACGAGCCGCCAGCGAAGGCTCCAACGAGAACAACACTCTAGAGGCACCTCCAGTCAGCGTAGCAGCCAAGGCGATGCAGCGCGAAGGAAGTCGCAGACCACCTTGACGAAGGACCCAGATGTACAGCCCCGAAGGCCTTGTGGGCGGGATAGATCATCACATTCCTCGGCTTCATCCTTAGATGCAGACTCAGCCACCAGACCTCACGGAAGCCAGCGAAGCTCAAATCGCCGTTCCCCAGCACGAGCGCAGAGGAAGCTTAGCGAAGGCGTTCATGGCGTTCGTGAAGAAGCGTTGAAGGCATTAGCGAAGGCACTTTCGGGAAGGACACCCGAATATAGATCGTCATTTAACAGAGTCAAGGGACTACTCAAGAGCTTAGCGAAGCTGTCAATAGTCTCCGATCTCCTCGTACATCACCACATCGATGCGCCTCACAGGTTACCACACAAGTCTGCACACAAGTCTACATCACCTTCCTAGAGTGGCAGTGCGGCGCAGACATACCTGATGAAGGAAGGCGGCGCAGATGCTATCACCCTACCTCCGATCGACCCGATTGCTGCGGTAGCACAGAATCTAGACATAGCATCCCATAAAGCCACAAAAGTTCAGACACCATAATTGCCGAACTTTCAGCCTAGAAGTTTTCCACGCACAACATGGACCCTTCTTCAAGGCTTAAGACATCGATGAAAACTACAAGTTGATCATCGATATCAACAATAAGAACTACAAATCGTAAATTGGTTCAGTTGAATCCATGGCCGAGGCGTATGTTCGTTGGCCTAAATAGATCTAGAGCGATCATTGAGACACTTATCACCAGATTTAAGTAACACGACTTCTGAAAATGATAAGATGATCCTTTCGGCCCTACTTATGCAGAACCAGCAAGTCCCAGGCGCCTCAGCGAAGAGCTAGAGCCTCACCAGCTACAAGGGGCGCGTCGGCGGAGGAGTAAGCGCCGCCGACCCACATCCTGTTAAACACAGAGGCCATTAAGCGAAGCAAAGCTCTTATATATATATATATATATATTCTAATCGGACTTTGATTTCGATACCCAGCGAAGGTCGCGAAGGCTAAGTGGCTCAAGTCTACTTCACCAGTAGATCTAGAAGGGATGCCGAGAGCCGTGAAGTCTCGGCGTTCACCGAGGAAGTCTCCTCCAAGGTCTCCATATACTAGCCACTTTCGTCATATATAGCTACTCCTCAGTCCGTTCAAGACATCGCATAAGTTGTCTATCAACTGTATGCCAGATGCCGATCTATAAGCCTCTGGCGAAGACAATTGCACAGGCTATTTACAACACAGAGCGTCGCTGTATTAATTTGTCAGCGGCGTTTCATAGATCTTCACAGAAATCAACTATTCGTATAAATTGCTAGTATATGCAATCCCGGACTGACGATCACGATTATCTACATGCGTGACCATTACGCATATCTGCAGAACAATTCAATATCGAAATTGAACAGCAGCCTTGTTACAGCGAGTATAACTCATAATCGTCAACATTTCTGAGAAGAAATATGTACAACAAATTCAGCTTTAATTCTACAATTATGGCGATACATTCATGTATACAGTCTACAAGCTGACAACTTACAAGTTATTGTACCTTTATATATAAAGAAGTCGAATTATATTCAAAACTGAAGTACTTTCACGACAGCCAGGAAAATAACCTACCCAGCATTAATATTACAGAGCAAGGTATTTTCGCGAAGCTTTGTGGCGTTTACCATTAATCCTCGAAACTGCGTGGTCACTTTCGGGTAACCGGAAGTTACGATGAAGACCGATGATTGTTCTAATATCAGCGGCGGCACTATATTATACAAGGTTCCTTTTCCTGCTACACGGTGACATCACAAGCGGGTACTCTACAGAATCAAAATGCCTTATTCTGATTGGACCCGATGAACAAGCGCCCTACACAGAGGTCGAGCATAGTTCACAGTTCAAGACATAGGTTGCAAGTGACAACTTTATATCAATGAGCGAGCAAGCCTCCTTACAGCCCAGTTAACCTGAACCTTCATGATTAGGCTGCTTTCTTCAGGTTAGAGACCTCCCCTGTCAAGTTTAGACAAGGGCACAGCAGTCAGGCGATTTTACATAAAGTTCATCGAGGACACAAACTCCGGTTGTGCACATACATCGTCAAGGACATCATAGCGATTTACCTGAGGCGGCGTGATACAAGTGGATCGAAATCCACAGCGTTTCAGACTACACCTGAATTTCATCATCAAGCTACTAACACAACTAGATGGTTAGTAAACCTACTAAGTTTCTGTTTGGAGAATAAGCGGAAGTTTCGCATTACCAACTTGGGGATATGAATATAGTGCTACAACACCTCACAAGTGAGGTTTATGAACATGCCTGGATGACATACTTGGACTCCATGATACGATGATGCTATCAGCTGGCCAGCAAGAGCACTGTAAATTTATCTCCACCAAACCAAACAGGAAGAAAATATACAACAGATTTTTTTTTCCTCTATCATCAACTACGCAGAGTGTAGTCTCGCGTACTATATCTCCGTTTGGATCAGAACTGTCATACTACGTGCATACAAGACAGATGGACCTAATCCGACCCTCCATGAGCTTTAATACTCTTGATATTAGAGCCCTAACTTCTACAATTTCATCTACACAAATGTTATTTGAAATAATGGAGGGTTTATTACTGTAGATCCGATATGGTGGTTGCCAACCATTATCTGAGAGATATCACCACCGAGGACATCTCAGGTATCCACCAATTCGATCCCATGGTCCTTGCACAACAGTTGACAGTTCCTCGGAGAAGATAAGTCAATCTTACAGATTTTTACTTATCTTATAACAGTACTAAATAGCTTCATGCTATATATAATTTGCTTAAGCTCGTTTTTTATCATCACAGTGGTTACATGATAAATGCATTAGCTAACAAACTCTACAGAGTTTTTTTTTTTGGCTATTATATACGTAGCTTAAGTCAAGTATATTTTAAGCATAGTACTATACTCATATTGTAAAAATACATTAGCTAACAAACTCTCACGGAGTTTTGCTATTATATAGGTAGCTTAAGCTCATTCATATCTTAAGCTCAGTACTATGTTTATATCATATAACTATATTAGCTAACAAACTCTAAAGAGCTTTTGCTATTTGGCTTAAGTTTCATCATATCTTAAGCAATATGGTTACATTATAACATGTATTAGCTAACAAACTCTATGGAGTTTTTGCTATTATTATATATGTAACTTAAGCTTATTCATATCTTAAAAGCAGTACTATGTTTATAGCATATAGGTATATTAGCTATCAAAACTCTAAAAGAGTTTTTGCTATTATATATTGGGCTTAAGTTTTCATCATATTTTAAGCTTTATGGTTACATTATATCATGTATTAGCTAACAAACTCTCACGGGTTTTGCTATACATATGTAGCTTAAGGTTTCTTCATATCTTAAGCTCAATACTATGTTGATACCATATAAGTATATTAGCTATTAAAACTCTAAAAGGTTTTTGCTATTATATATTTAGCTTAAGGTTTACTTCATATCTTAAGCTCAATACTAGGTCTAAATCAACATAATAAAATGTATTAGCTATCAAACTCTCACGGGGTTTTACTATTATATATATATAGCTTAAGTTTAATCATATCTTAAGCTCAGTACTATGTTTATAACATAAAAGTATATTAGTTAATAAACTCTAAGGAGTTTTTGCTATATACATTTAGCTTAAGTCTAATCATATCTTAAGCTTAGTACTATGGTTACATTATAAATCTATTAGCTAATAAGCTCTACAGAGTTTTTGGCTATTGTATATGTAGCTTAAGTTAATTATATCTTAAGCACAGTACTATACTCATATTGTAAAAATATATTAGCTAACAAACTTTACTAAGTTTGGCTATTATATATGTAGCTTAAGTTAATTATATCTTAAGCACAGTACTATACTCATATTGTAAAAATATATTAGCTAACAAACTTTACTAAGTTTGGCTATTATATATGTAGCTTAAGTTAATTATATCTTAAGCACAGTACTATACTCATATTGTAAAATATATTAGCTAACAAACTATACTAAGTTTGGCTATTATATATGTAGCTTAAGTTAATTATATCTTAAGCACAGTATTATACTCATATTGTAAAAATATATTAGCTAACAAACTCTACTAAGTTTGGCTATTATATATGTAGCTTAAGATAATTATATCTTAAGCACAATACTATACTCATATTGTAAAAATGTATTAGCTAACAAACTCTACAAAGTTTGCTGTTATATATATAGCTAAGCTTATTCATATCTTAAGCTCAGCACTGTCTATATCATATAAATATTTTAACTAACAAACCCTAAAAGGGTTTGTTATTATATAATTAGCTTAAAATTAATCATATTTTAAGCTTAGTGCTATGTTTATATCTTAAAGTATTTTAGCTAACAAACTCTAAGGAGTTTATACTAGCATATTAACAAGCTTAAGTCTATTAGTCTTAAGCATTGTATTAATATTATATATACTTATCATAATAAGTACATTGTAATAACCTCTATATGGCAGCTGATAAGCTGGCAGCAGGAGTCATCAGTTCAATGCCTTTATGAAGTTCTCATAGGGTTATTACAATCATCACAGTTCAAATCACTAATTATTAAAATCCAAAGTATTATATATTCCCACCTCGGCTCTGTTGGATTCTACAAGCAAAAGAGCATGAGTCAGGATAAGGAAAAATATGTAATTTTTGAGTAAAATTGATATTTTATACTTATCCTGACTCATGAATCAACCCTCCCATCCTCCCCAAATAACACTTTGGATTTCCCTGTAAATTCAAATGTTGGGCTCAGTATATGGGAGAGAGTGAGGCACATGGGTAGAGGTGGCCCTCGTTCAGCTTGTGGAAGGGAGGTAACTTCGTGGTGTACTAATTAGTGATTTTACATTGAAGGGAACTTCAATTAGGGAGATACAAGTGTTCCACTATGGAGACAAGCAAAGAGGAAGGAGACAAGCAAAAGAGCATGAGTCAGGATAAGTATAAAATATCAATTTTACTCAAAAATTACATCAGGTAGGTGCTATAGGAGTTAGCACAAGAACATGCTCTTGGAGGGGTTTGTTGGCACTGTCAACATTATCAGGCCTCAGAGAATGACACTTGTATAAACATGCAATATTTCTGAAAGAGTGACTGTTTTGATTGTCTTAAATGACACGAGCAAACCTGTTGTATCTCAGTAGAAAGGTTATGTTCTGGATAAGATGGAACAGATTTCTGATATGTAGGCAGGCGTCTTACAATCTGACATGAATATATCATTCTTGGTGAATAAGAGTTCACCAGATTGTTTACTTGTATTGGAGATATCCTATAGCTGAGAAAGAAACAAATTCTCCATGTTCATTAACAAAACAGAGTAAAGAATGGTTTCTTCTTCTTCTTATGCACTGTGGTAGATGACTGGGTTTATTATCGGTTTGATACCCATGATTGGTGCCAGATGTGCAGTTCCATGTTTTGAATCGAAATGGGTGTGTTTGAAGTCTCAGATTTATCATCTGAATGATATAATGCGTGCTGTTTTGTGATGTGTTTACAGTGAAAGCAGCGAAGTTGATATTGCTCCCAACACCCGATCTGGTACAAAACGGTACATGGCGCCAGAGGTGCTGGAAGACAGAGTCAACAAGAACCACTTTGATGCCTACAAACAGGCTGACATGTACGCCTTTGGGCTTGTGGTTTGGGAGGTGGCCAGAAGGTGTATAATCGGAGGTAAGTGGGGCCATGTTGGCAGGACACGCTTCTGGAGCTTTGGGCTCACCTGACTAAAAGTAAAATAATTTTGTGTCATGGTGTATTATCTATCTTCTGTCCAGTCAGGATGTACATCTGATTTTAAGCTTATCATTTTGAAATCTCCTCTAAAACTACAAGGCTTATATGAAGCTGAATTTTTGGTTTGAAGGATCCCAGGTTGGATGTTTCTGAAAAATTAGTTCAACGATTTCTCATCAAATTGTAAACTTGGATCTGATTATTTTGTCATAATTTCGTTCAACATCAGAGCCTTGTGGGTATCTATTTTCAATATTTTGTTGTATACTCTTAACCTGAAAGTGAGTGCAGCATAAAACTAAACTCACTCACTCACTTAACCTGCAAGTCCAGACATACACCAGCCAATTTGTATTGTTTGATAAACTTGATACTCCAACTCTCCTTGTCAACTACTCAAGGATGGAAAAAGACCACAAACACTTAGTTACTGTTTGTCATGCTGATTCCTGTGCATGAAAAATAACAGGTAGAAAAGTAGTGATGTTCTGATGATCGAAAATCGGTCGAAAGAAGGATTAAAAATGATTATCGATTGTAAAAAAACATATTTTCGATTAATCAGAAGTTTGTTGTTTTTATATAACACCCTTCAATGAAGTAAGCTAACCATCAAATTTGACGAATATTCACGAACAACAGCGTAAACCTATGCACATTGTAAAATGTTAACCACTTTTATTGTTTAATTACAATTCCAGTGTCTTTCTTGTATGCGTGCATTTCATTGCATAACAGCATTAGTTATAAAAAACAAGAATAATTAGAAAAAAACTGGTGAAAACCCTTAAAATTGGTGATTACATTAAAAATGTATATATTTCGATTGTAATCGATAATCGTTCACCATAATCCTACGATAATCGATAGTGGATTTGGTTTCCGATTCCCAACACTATAGAAAAGTAACTTCGATCTTTGATTAGCTCACCAACAGGTTGCCAAACTTTCCCAATGCCTTTGACGGTATTGTTATCAACTCAGAATATTTTCATCACAGAACTTTCCACATTTACTGTCTACATTGTTGTAGTTTGGGAATTGTTTTCTGGAATATTGGCAGGTTTGGTCCAGAGTACACTGAGACCATTTTGAGAAGTTTCTGAGGTAATGTGGGGTGTGGTTGGGAGAAATCAGTGTATAGTGTAGTCATGGTTTTATTAATTAGTGCAACTTGTTGCTGCAGGAATAGCAGAGGACCATGCGCTACCCTACTTCGACTGTCTTCATAGTGATCCCAGCTTTGAGGATGTCCGGAAGATAGTATGTGTTGAACAGATCCGACCAGCCATACCAAATCGATGGATCTCCGATCCTGTAAGTAGTTGCAGGCCACGCAAAGAAATCATGATGGTATTTTAAAATGTCATGCTTTTTGTGTTCTTGGCACAGCTGATTCATACCATCTTTTAGACATGTGTTAAATCAGCTTAGATGCAAGTCACCACCAATTTACTGTAAGCCACAAAGTCTAAGTCATTAAAAATTTTGCGACCTTTTGAAATCATCTTGATCAATCTCTGCAAAATTATCATTCATGTTCAAGGTAAGAATTTTGAAAACAGTTGGGTTTTGTAGATTTCATGACAACAATTCCAATTAATTGACTGTTGATAAACTGTTTGTATTTCTAATTCAACAAGTTGTCAGCTAGTTAGTTACTATAATTTGTGTATGTCTTTTTGAAATTCCATCAAAACATGAAAACCCTAGTCTACCCAAAAACCACTGCTACCAGTGATAAGGTATCAGTTAGCTACCAGCAGATTGAAGAGTTTTTAGCTTACTTTTACTGAGTCCTAGGCAGCTTTTGTGTTCAAGGGTTTGAGTCTTGCACTCAGTAGAACATGCCCCTAGTTTGGGATATGAACACCTCTTGCATGTTGGAAGGTAGAACCCACTGTGCCTCATGTACTGAAAGTTTGGCCATCTCTGAGCCAGCAGTACTAACTGAAACTTCCCCAAATGCCTAGATCGATGCTCATGCTGTTGATCACTGGATTATCTGGTCCAGACTCAATTATTTGCAAACTGCTACCATATAGCTGGAATATTGCTGAGTGCAGCATTAAATAACAAACGAAGCAACCAAATTGAAACTTCCTGTTTATTTGAGGCTGAACTGTTGCCGTAATTTTGAAGTAATTAATTAGCATCGTGTGTGACCTTGCCTCTGCCTTACCCCCACAGTACATGAAGATCCTGACGAAGGTGATGATCGAGTGCTGGAGCCCCAACCCAGCAGCCAGACTCACATCGTTGCGTGTTAAAAAGACTCTGGGGAAGATGTTAGAGAGCATTGACCTCCACACAAAGCTGTCGCAGTCATGATGACATCGGGCAGACAGGAGCTAAACTTAATCAGGGAATGCTGAATATATAGTGCTGTGTACAGATGCTTGTTCTCACCGAAGAGGAGACCGCTTGTCCCACCGACCCAGCGTGCTGCGGAACGCAGAGTGCGGACTCCCCACGTCCATGCCGCTTGTCCCCGACAGATGTGGCAGCACGTGGAACGTGGAGTGCACCCAGCCTTGTGCAGGCTTCACGATCATGCATGTCTTGTTCCATGCATTTTGTAAACTGATTGCTCAACCACAGGACTATATGAAGTTGGGATATGATTTATTCAGATAAGCGTAGATCAGCAGAATTCACTGAATGAATCAATGGATCTACAGCAAAGTTAATCATTGAATCAATGTTTTCATGGATGTTTTGGCCTAAATTGCTGATATCATGGGTCCATTCATCTGATTATGTGAACAGACTAGCAACTTGTTTTGTTTTATTTAATGATGAACTAATTATACAGGCTTTGTTGGTCCAAGGGAGATAACTCTGTTTGCTACAAATGAAAAACTTCAATTGAAGACATATCCTTACATGAAAACGAGTATTCTAATCTAGTCTTATACTTTCTTCTTCTCTGTATCTGTAGAATAATCTACAATATTTTTTTAAAATAATGTTTCTGTAAGCATAATTTTTTTACTCCTATAATTAGAAACTTGCATGTATTGAACTCTGATTTGTGGTTACCCTTCTTCATACTTATTACACGTCCCAAAGACATTCACAATGTTGAAATTGGTATTGTATTTTAAATGCAAGTTAAAAACAATTTACTAAGGCCTTTGTCTTACTGGATTATCTCCCTTGGACCAAAGTCTGCCATTTACTGAGCTTGATCAAACTTACAGAATAGACTTGCTCCAGCAAACTAGTGACCTAATCTCTCCCACCAAGGACAGTCTTCAAATGGCATTTTATAATTTATTTACAAAATTATTTCATTGTACCATACATGAATCAGCCTTTCCTCTCTTCATCAGAACAAACCTGTTTCCCTCTTCGTTTGTTTATCAAATCACATAATGGCAATATGTTGTTATTAATCTAAGCGTTATTTGAATGACTGCAAATATCATTTGAATTGTTTGATTTCCATGCTCAACCATTGTTTGTGATAAATTATAATTTATGTGCATACCTTTTTTGAAGATAGAAACAAATGGCATGGATGCCATTTCAGATACATTTGATATGTATAACTATTGTTAAACGGTACAAAATAATTTTGAATGCATCTTAAATAAGGCAGAAATTATCAGTTCAGTGTTGAAATCTTCATTTGATTTTATGAGATATTTTTCCCCGTTGGCACCAATGTTTTAATGCTTACCACATAGAGGTCAGTTGGATATGCCATCCTTGTACATGCGAACCTAGAGCATTATTCAATGTGTACAGTTTTCATAGCATAAAGCATCATGAAGTCCGTTTCCATGGTAACATACAACTCTTGTACATAGGTCATTCTGATGTCATAGATAACCCAAATTGTATTTATTTTTATGTAGTGTATTGTACCATATCAAGTCACAATGGTGGTTCTCGGATGAAGGACCCCCTGTTTGTATATATGTACATATATATGTGTTTTTCCCCCCGACAGCCCAAACTGTGTAATAACATGCCAAACAATGCTGTTCTTGAAGTCTGTTGTCCCAGTTTTACATAGTTTTAGCATACTCATTTTAATCAAAAATTGATTGTGCAAATATGAATGAAATCAAACTGTTTTAAGTGTTACTTGACCAGGAAGTGATAATGGCTGTAGCAATATTTGTACTTAACCAGACGATGCCAATTTTGTGAGTTAGTTAGTAATATGTTTCTTGAACATTGCCTCTTCTTGTTGAGTTTTCGATGTCTCATAGTTACGTCTCATGCAGTAAGTGAATGTACAATTTGAAGAAAACTGTCTAGAAAAGGTTATGCCGGTTGTACTTAGAACGACTGCTGGGTAAATCACGTGATACTGAATCCTTTGCATTTATCTGCTATGGTGTAAGAATATCTTGCCCCACGGAACCGTTAGCAGCCTTAGTGGTTGATTCAACTAAGACACTGACACGTCACCCATTTCACTCAGTGCTGTGAGAAACATGCGCACATAAAAATTCCAGATTTAAATCGACTCCAATTTTGACTGATTTCCACAGTATGTGCAGAAAGAGATCAAGACTGCTAAATTTGTGCTTGACACCCTTTTGGTAAATGTTTCATCTTAATGATTCCCTGAAATTACTTGATGGAAAGAAGTTTAACTTGTTCTTCAGAATAGTCTGAATTCCCGACATTACTGAAACAGATCTTCAACTTGTTTATTTTGATAGGACATCATGTTTGTTTGCTTCCTACCTATTCAGGTCTCAACAAATCTAGATGGGTAGCCTAGTGGTTAAAGTGTTCGCTACCATGCTGAACACCCAGGTTTGATTCCCCACATGGGTACAATGTGTGAAGATCATTTCTGGTATCCCTTGCAGTGAAATGACAGGAATATTGCTAAAAGCGACATAAAACCATATTCACTCAGCAAATCTATAATAAACACGACTGCAAGTTGAGAACAGAGTTCTGTCTCCTAAAACTGACTCGTTTGATAGGGGCTCTGTAGACTTGAAATATGCCTTGTCCCTGGAGTGAAGTGGCTCTCGTGTCAGTGGCTAGCCCTCTTACCTCAGTCATGTAGATTGTAAGCAATCTCTTAGAGGCTTCCATTTCTGTTGTCAGTGACTGTCGTCTCTCGCTGTCGTCCTCGCTGTCGTCCAGCTTCTACATGTTATTCTCCTAGTCTTCCAGTCTTATAGATGCAACTGTTTACGTCAGTTTCTGTCAATCAGGCCAGTTCGGGACGTCACGTCCGTGTATGATTTGCCAGGTTTTAGGATCATTACTGGTGTCGTCATGATCATAGACATGAAAGTCTGTAGCGTAATAGTTTAATGACTTGATAACCAAAATATATTTTGTACCTCATCTAATCTTTTAAACATGATATTTGACAGTTTTTCCGAGTAATAATGTCAGTTTTTAAACTAGGAATCGTATAATCCAGTTCTATAACAGTTACATGTTAATTCATGGTGTTTCTCTCTCAGCTTGTGAATGGCTCTTAAAAGACAAATTCTGTAAAGTCTTTTAAACGGATACAGTTAAGTTCATTTTGATAAATTATCTAACGTTAGACAGGATTTCTTCCAGTGTTTTACAAACTGAGTGTTGTGGGATGTTTCCTGCTTGTTGTTTGACAGTTATTCAGTCAATGAAATATATATATATATATATTTGATAACAATCACTACACATACAGCAATACAATAAATAGACTTGGAGTTTGGTATTACAGTTAAATTATTTCATTTGGCCCCCTTTTTAATGGAGAAAATGGGCATCTTGTATTGACACGTAAACAAGACGTACAAAACTGTGTTAAACCATCAGTTACAGGTTTAGAAAGTTCTACTTCATTAAAAACAGTAATGGCGAGATTTTGTGACGGGTAGGTTTCATATACCAATGGAGTTGTTTCTGTTTAAAGGTTCAAAACTCTGTTTCACAAATCTCCTGCATTGCTTTGCGATGTAAGACTTGCAATAATTGTATCATTGGCTGGCTGTATTTTTATTACTATTGTGCTTCAACAAACATTTTCTGCTGGTTTGTGTTCAGACCGTGAAACAATGAAAATTCTGACCCAGAAAACTGTCTCGCAATAGAAAAGATATCTGATCTTATTTTTCAGATGTGAAGAATCTTTTCCATTTAATAGTAATCCTGTATGTTTCAAAAGTTTAATTGTATGAATGGAACAATAATTGTATATATAAATTTCAAAATCATTTTTGAGAGATGGATGGCATTTTTAGTAGCTACTGTGTTAGAGTACTTTAAACTTTTCAGGACAAGAAAATCACTTCCCGTCTACCCACCTCCAGGCTAGCTACTGAGCGCAATCATCTTCAATAACAGTTGAAACTCATGTGATCATTTTTGTAGCCACTGAATATTATTTGGTTGAGAAAAAATCAAAATGCTTACATTTTTATGGATAATTTACATGATTTGAATGTATCGATTTTTAACCAGTTGTACATTGTCTTTGGCTGTAATATGGCTCAAAGAGCTTTTGAATGTATATTTTGTAAATATTTCTATAACTACTGGGCTAACCCTAATTTCTGTTAGCTTATGACGTGAGATATTGTTGAAGCTAGAAACAGATCTTGTAGAAGGAGGGGCATGTATTTCTATAATACTGTGGTCATGAAATGGTGAGTGGGACAATGTCATCAGGGAGTAAGTTAGGTTTTTCACCATGTAAATGATTATTTTAGTTGTATCACATCGTGTGAGTTTATGTATTGGGGGAAAGGCCCGGTACAGATGTAGGTTGTGGATGTTTATTGCTGTCCTGAACCTCTCAAGCACAACTGGTGAAAACACACCCTGAGATCAGATTCACAGTCATATATGCTTGGATACCTAAGGGATGCAACTCTGCAGGATGAATTGCAGCACACTAGAAATCTGGGCCACTTGTATCAACTCACCAGTTCCATCAGCTAGGAGGCAATGATTGTACTTTTTAAGTCACAAAATGATTTATTTCTTTGGCCAACTTTTGGAAAGCATTTTCAGGAGTATATGAACATGTGTGCAAGTTTCCAGAAACCCACATTGACTCTGTAAGCTCCGTTGTTCTGGTAAACAGATGCCAGGCTGTTGTGAGTTCAATCATTACTAATCAGTGCTGTGGTGGGGGATAATTTGGAGTTTTCCCCCTAAAATTCAGATAGTATATTAATTAATTTCTTTAGGGATTGTGTGAGGGGCATCCTGTCTCAACATGAGATTTCAACATCCTGACAATTTGTGGCATTATAGTCTGTGGTGCAAGTCACTGTGCAGAGTTGAGTCCCTTTACCATGCTAGTGTCTGCTGATCACAATCCAGGGTCTTACCACTGTTTGAGTATTTCGGTTTAGTGGTCAGGTCTACAACCTGCATTACGTTGGTCTCTACCTGGGCGTTAATCTTTTACACGTTATGATATAACTGAAAAACAGTTTAAAGCAACACAGAATCCACACTTTTGCTGTATTTACTGTATTAAGCACTCCTCTCCAATAAGTTCCCCCTAAACAACTTCTAAACCAGCCGTCAAGTAATTTTGTAAGCGATTCTTACTAAGCCCCCAAACGTATGACAGTCCATATTTACCTATGTATGATGTATATCCTTTATGTTGACAGACAAAAGCAGAGTTGAAAGGGGTATATAATTGGCCAGTATCTGTTATTGAAAACGTTTTGCTTTGAAGTAAATTTGTTTTCTCCTACTCAATCTCTAACAATAAGTTAAATTTGAGTATGGTTTGATAAACACCACTATTTTGTTACTTTACAAAGACCTGGGGTGCTTTTAATGATGAATATTGTACAGGCAATAAGTGCAGTAAATGGCATGAACTTCTCAAGTTGTAACTTTCATCAGTAATGGAAGGCTTTATGCTCAATAGAATTGGTCAAGTTTATTTTCTGAACTTGAAACAATATATAATGATGAAGGCGGTGCACCTTCTCTGACTAGCACTCTGCTTAGGATGTCATTTATTAACCACATGATACTGTAAGATCATACTGTCTGTATTATGGAGACTTATGATCGGCTTCCACAAACTCCAAAAAATATTAATTTCTATGTTAATCTATGTTATCAAGTTCAAAGAAATCCATGTAACAGTGCATTGTTTTGATTCAATGTTGGATGAAAACTTTTCTTTGCTGCCTCCAAATTTCACAGATTTTCTCCATGTCAAAGAATTTCTTTTTCAGATTGTGAACTTTGAATGTTGTTGATCCAGCCTGACATCTAAGCTGCGGAGGTCACAATCATACGTGGGCTATGCTTAGTCCAGATTATTATGATGTCAAAAATACTTAAAATGTTGTGTCAATAAACAATTATCAAGTTTCACTGCAGAATGGAAAGTGAAGATCTGATTGCAATGTATGTGAAATTAATTGAAATTAACAACGATAATCCACACCAAAACTATACCTAAGCCAAATATTGATTGGTAGTTGGGTTTTATCTGCAAATACATGTTGACTTAGGCCAGAGTGTGCCACTCTTCTTCTGAAGCGAAACATTGAGCCAAGGGCTGTCTAAGACTCTTATTTTCATATACCTATGCAGCATTTTTATTGCATTAAATGGTATGTACTTTATTTTGTAGAAAATTATGCAATGAATTTCATTTTGCAATAAAATGTATTTACCAACTGTGACATTTCTTTTGTGTGTATTGAATGGTTTTAGTTTTGGGGTGAGACTAGTCCTTGGAATTTGTCTCTAGTCTTGCTTGAACAACACAAATGTTGACCATGTTAGTCACTCTTCTTCTGAAGCGAGGGGCGGTGGGGTAGCCCAGTGGGTAAAGTGTTGACTCGTCACACCGAAGACCCGGGTTCGATTCCCCACATGGGTACAATGTGTGAAGCCCATTTCTGGTGTCCCACGCTGCGATGTTGCTGGAATATTGCTAAAAGCGGTGTAAAACCAAACTCACTCACTCACTCACTCTTCTGAAGCAAAACATTGAGCCAGGGGCTGTATAAGACTCTTATTTTCATATACCTATGGCAGCATTCGCTTTTTTTCGAAGACCTTGTCCAGAGAGACAAACGTAGGCTGTATTTCACTTGTCCTAGGATTTAGTCTTTTGTGTTGCTTCAACAACACAAATGTTGACTATATTAGTCACTCTTCTTCTGAAGCGAAACATTGAGCAATGGGCTATCTAAGAGTCTTATTTTCATATACCTATGGCAGCATTCGCTTTTTCTTGAAGACCTTGTCCAGAGAGACAAGCGTAGGCTGTATTTCACTAGTCCTAGGAATGTGTCTCTTGTCTTGCTTCAACAACACAATTGTTGACCATGTTGACATGTTCTGTCAGTTTTCAGTTACCATTTATTGCAAATAAAATGGAAGCAATTAGGCCTGGATCAAAATGATGTCCAACTAAAATTAGTGAAGACTATCCTTGAATATTGCCCTGCCCTCAGCACATTGAATTAGCATTGGACAGCTGATAGC